TAATTTGTTTCCTGTTCAGAAACATAATCATACAATTCAATCCAATATTCTTTAGAATGTGTACAGAACCCTTCAATAAGCTCTTATTTTAGGTAATCTCTCCATCGATATCATTTTACAACTGAAATAAAGATACACTTTGTTTACTGATTACGTAAAAGTAATATATGTTTGCTCATGTATAAAGTATGAAGTGTGTACGAAGTTTCTCGAACTTGAGGTTCACTTAATGCAAGTATGCAAAAAAGAAGACAAGCACTTATCGATCAACTGTTTAAAAACTTTTACAATATATTACTGTATACTTAAACAAAAACGTAGAATACAAGTATATCAAAGAAAAGAATGTTGAACAGCAGGATTTAACTGTTGAGAATGCTAGATCCACAGAAATCACTTGGTAAACGTCTTATTTTTGTAATTTTACCTTGGAAATTTAAACCTTTCGCTTTCGCGCTAAAAGTGCCCTCTTTTACCTTCAGATTGTATTTTGCACTTGAAAGGACCCTAAATATCATTGGTTCGTTCCCTCTTTTATTACGCCATTTTGTGACGTTTCTATGATGTATGTATACGCTTGAGATGGTGGAAAACCAATCATGTCGTTCAGAAGAACGATGAAAGCTCCATGACTAAACCATCCAGCTCAGAGAACAAAATATACGCTTGAGTTGTGTGCTTGTTCGTTTGTGCTTCTGGCTGCTTGCGGAATGATTTCTCTCATCTGAGTCTGAAATTCCCATATAGTTAGCGGGGCTGTGACGCATTGGGATAGTTTAGTTTGTCTTGTTGTCGATCCTTCGTTCCGTTTGCTAATTTAAGGTGATCTCTTCACGCATGGGATTAACTAAGAAAATAGCTACACAGCAATCCAATTAACACCGGTAACTACGACGGTTTAAATAGCAATTCACTTAGTGTATGACATAAACAGCTTAGTACAATAAAAACAATGTACCTCCTACATAGGTGTTAATGTTTAGCTAATGTGACAGAAATCAATATATCATTATTATCAATGATTGATTTATTCTGCAATGTTTAGTTTTATGTAACTTTAAACAACTGATGATCCTGCAAAGTGCATATATAAATTTATATCGAAGAAAAAAATTAGTGAACTATGAGTACATTTTAATGCACTACTAAAAAATACCGGTAGTAAAAAGTACGTCCCTACTCAATAAACATGTTCAGATTTAAAAATATTCTGTTTACTTAAAACTTAGAGAAATATATAATACATGTATGTATATAAATTTATAGAAGCCATTAACAACGCAGTAGATGTTGAGTGTAGCATTCAAATCAATATTTCTAAATTGACGGGAAACAAATTACTTAAGCAGATATTCTGCTATTTGTACAGAATGGGTAGTGGATTCACATAAATAATCTATGTATACATGTAAATTCTAACTACTTTTAATAATAAAAACATTGACAGAATTTATGAGTTGAAAGAAAATAAACAAATAGAATACTCTATAGATGTATACAACTTAGTTTTCATAGTGTGTTCGTTATGATGAGTAGAAAATTCTCTTTTACCACGTTCACTGCATAACTAATCACCTTTGTTTTAATTTCTCTAACGTCAGTGACACTATTTACGTATCCTATTAAACAGACAATTCATGTTGAGCAACATAAGTTTTCTTCGATAAGGAAATCTGTATATAAATATGCAATAATGTAAGTACGTAGTATAACTATACATACATAAGGACAATTATTAATTCTGGGCGTATTATACATGTTGAACAAAGACAACAAATGAATTCATATAGGCCAATACAATATGCATATTCTATCAAAGAATAAATGAACACAAGTTTCAAATGCAAACACCATTAGTACACAAATAAATAAATAAAATCTTGTTTGTTTGCAATGACATTGAAATGTCAGTAATGAAAACTTGATAATAAAAAAATCAATGTTAACATTAGAATCTTCTAAAATGACACGTAAAATTAGGTAATATCGAATAACAAGAATCATACTACTTTTATCATTAAGAAAAAAATTGAGCCAGTTGAAAAAAGTAAGTTCTCTGTACAATATCACTTATTAAAACTACTTCTACCCATTAATATTACAAATTAGTTCATTGAGAAAATATATGGGCATCAAGTCATTAAGAAAGTGCTCGAGAATCACAATTAGTGGTTAGATGATAATTTAAAAGGGTGTTAAAGTATTAGGAAGAGTAAACTTCAACAAAGTGAAACTTAATTACAGGTGAAAAACATAAGTTTGACGGTCTACTCAACAAATATAAAGACAAGTAATGAAAACACAGAAAAGATGAGAAGAAAATACATCTGGAGTACAAAGGTTAGAAAGTGCCAACACCAATCTAAAGCGTGGAAGAGCAACCGGCTTTGATTGATTAAACCTGGAGGTCTGTAAGGATCGCGACCGAGTTTTAGCCGTTAAAGTGACTGAGATACTAACCAGTCAGGGAAGTGAAAGTAACGCCATCTGACTAGTCTCGAACGCTGATAGTTTCAGTTTATAAGAGAAAAAATCGCCATGTGATAACCACAGACGAATCAGCCTGAATAATGTAGTGTCTAAAATATTAGCTCCTGAATCCTCCTCGTCTTTTTTTTCTCTTTCGAAATTTATTTCACTGGATTATACCCTTTAAATAACATCTTCAAACCCTAATCTTTCCGATTACTGCTTATACTCTTACCACCCCTACCACTACGGGATTTGAATCGACAACTGCATCTCTGTGCTAATATGGTGTGGCAACTCGAACTGATGTACGTACGTAAGAAGTTCTACGTTGTTACTGACTGACTGACGAAATTATTAAACCAATCAAGGTAGTTTAAGAGTCAATGATAACAATGGAAAAGATTATATAATAAGTGAAAAGTACAAATCGATAGTGTGAAGACAGGTGTACTAGTTTTGATGAGAATAATAAAGGCTTAAATCAATGTTACATAATCGGAAAAAGGTCAATGATTAGAAGAAATATAGACAGTGAGATAACATATATAAAAATTATAAGATTGCGTAATAAAAAGTGTTCAGATAATTAGACAATATTGTTCGCTTATATATGTCGTTCTAAATTTACAATATGGGAATTTTTCACATTTTAAAAGTATAATAATTAGACGCTGTATATTTAGTAGAGGTTAGAAAATGAATATTAAATCAAAATCTCCTTAATATATGATAAAATTTATTGCTTATCAATTTACGAATGATCTTTTCATCTATCAACTAAAACGATATAATTAACACGGTTAATTACTTTTACCATGCTTTTTGAAGTTTAAAATAATTGTTTTAAAGTGACCATACCATCTCAGGCTTGAATACAGCTAAATAAATGTTATTAGGCTAATTTATTTGATAAAAGGTTCAAAGAATAAAGTGAGTGTTTCTTAATAAATTTTAATAGGCACTACCTAATAAACAGAAACCTCGCTGTACTTGTACGTAAAAATTTCTTTCCAGAACTCAAACAAAGTAGTTTGAATATGAAGATTTCAGTAATGCGAAGTACTGTTTTGTTAGTCCTGGGTGTTTCAAGATACTGAAGATGAAATTCTGACCAGTAACAGAATGCTTTAAAAATACTAATGAGAATATTCGAATTGCAAATGAGATAAAAACTTAACGGTAACACTCTAGAAGCAGTAAACTGGTAGTTAATCAGTTTAATCAACAAATTGATTCTGCTAAATAACATTTAATGGGAACCTAAATTTTAGTGAAAAAGGTTTGAGAAAAAAAATTGTTTAGTATTTCTTTAAATTTTATTATTGAGAGTACAACAATAGACGATACAGTACTTTTTAATGAGAACAGCTTTCTGAATATATGTACAACTTGCATATGTTGCACAACAAATAAGTAAAATGTATACAAAAAAGGAGTAAGATCTCTCATTTTGTTTAAAACACCGTGTTTTAAAAGGAAAAACATACAGAAAAAAGACAAGCACACTTTAAGTGACCTCAGTCAACATACTACTAAATAAAAAGTTCATTGTAAGACGAATACAATTAGCATCCTTTCTTAAATATTCTATTGTATGAACAAGCTAGTAAATAATTATATTTATTTACAATTAATTAGAACAAAAAGGTTTTTATTTATAAATACTTCAACATAATTATTGTGAACAAGAAAATAATAAAATCATTAATAATATATATATAATTAAAATAAACGGAGTACGCTTCTAGCCAAAAAAAGGGTAGCCGGATGGAAAAAACGTGTATTTATGCTTTTACGGAGATATTCGGACAAAACTCTAGAATCTTCTTATGAAATGTCTTAATAAAAAAAAATCATATTTTTATTTGAACTATAACAGAAATGGATATATGTTCATAACATACAAAACATGAGTTTACTGATCCAATCGCTAAGTTAATTTACTATTGTTTTTTTGTTTAGAATCTCTACACATATGACTGATAAAAGTTTTTATTTTAAACCTTAGATGTACTCTCTATAACGTGAAATCATTTGCTATTGACACTAGTACATACAGCCAATCGATCAATTAGTTACGTTACTTTTCCACATTAACCATAATCTAGATTTTTATACACACTAACCCTAAAGCTGGTTTCTTTAAAGTTAATTATGAAACAATACATTCGAGTGCAAATATTAAATTATTTCATATCAACAATGTGCCAAAATTTGTCATGAAATGTTGACTACTCACAGTAAAAAAGTGCATGGAAACAAAGATGGTAAGTCAATTGACTCTTAACTTATGTAAGAATGAAAGGAATATGTTCACTTTAACAGAGAATATAAAGTATACAATGTGATTTTCAAAATCACGAAAGCATGAGTTCCAAAGTAAACACGATGGAAATACAAGTGTTTTTGAAATGGAAAAGTGTAAATATTTGCACAAATTTTATACCCAATTCTAGTAAATAAAGATTTATAATTGAGAAATAGTTGTTTTACAGGAAAAAAAATGAAATACTACGCTGGTGACTTACTTTCTTTCTAGTGCCTCTAGATATTCTTTTTTCTTTCGGCGACTTTCTTGTGCACTTATTTTGTTTTTAATTTTTCGTCGAACCTTCTTAAGGTTGCGTTCATCTTGTTTAGACAAAGGTAAACGCGTTGGAATGGAATAACCCTCTGCAATTAAAGTCCGTTTCTCTTCCTCCGTGAGTACTAACATATGAGGATGATTGATCTAGAAAAATATTAAGATTACATTATTTATAAATAATGAGGACTAATTAAAATAGGAATCAAGTGGCATTATTTCTCCACAAAAACATATTGGAACATGCCGACCCAGAGTTGTTAACCACAGAAAATGCTCTTGTACGGTGCTGTTAGGGTGTATCTTCAATAGCAAGAAAAAGAATTCTTTGATAATTGACCTATATAACGTGAGTTTAAATAACGGAAAGGTTTTTTATGGGTTCAAGACACAAATTTGTGATGAGTGCCAACCCAGGGGGAAGTTAAACTAAAAGACTAGACTGAAATGATATTGAGTATAGGGCAACGAAAGCAAAATAAATGGACAAGGTAAAGGCGATAGGTAATAATTAACACATTCAAAGAAATAAGCACCAAAAAGTCAAGTGTTATTTAGACAATATGTGGAAGACAGATTATGATCTACGCTTAGTCTAGACAGTTGGAGTGGTGAGAAAAATTCTCAACTTGTCTCAAGCTACTTCTCAGTTGCTTACTGTTAACAAACAACCATAATGAGATATTAACACGAGCTCATTGACAATAGCTAGACTGAAAGGAGGGAGATCAGTGGGTATCGATGAATTAACCTCGGAGATTGTTAAGGATGACCGTCCAACTTTAGCAGTTAGATTGACTGTGATATCAGTTCCTCAAGCACTACAGATAGAGTCACAGTGAACTGTCTTCAGAATTATCAGCCTCATGTAGTGTTAATCAGGTTTGTTCATTTCCCCTATTTTTTTAGCTTTTCTATAGACATCTATTCACTTATTAATTTTGGGTATATAGGTAATATAGTTTTGTCTAGTGAATATGCAAATAAAATGTAGTCTTTTGGTTGCCTTGATCAACAACCCAAGTATGTTTAGAATATTTTTACTTTTTTTTAAACTGCAAATTGTTATTTCAGAACTAGTCAGTGTCAAACCTTATATTAATGATAGGTAGTGAAGTAGTTGAGTATGTTGATTACTTCACTTATCTCGAAAGTCCAATCAGCATCGATGGGTTTAACGAACTGAAAATGATGACAGTTAAAAACACAGGATATTTTCAGGTTATTACTGTCTGATCATAGATGTCTTTAAAGCATTGCTTGCACATCCAAAGACCATCAGATGAGCGATGCTGAAGTTAGGTAAAAGAACTACGTAAAAATAGAAAATCGGATGGCGAGGTAGTAAATCTTCGTAAATTGAGGTGGTCTACCACTACACGCGATGTTTTTTATGTAGGAGTAGGTTGGAAGTTACAGACAGATAAACCAAAACGTGGCACCAGATTGAGCTAGCTGTGTTAGTAGGTTTAATATCTGGTTGAGATACGCGCGATTATTTCAGCTAATGATTAGAAAAATTGGGTGACAAGACTCAAAATCGGTCCTAACAGATCAAATGCATTTGAGTTTTGAAATTATCTTGTACTGTTTACATAATCTCACGAATTCACTATCTTCGAATCATATTGTCTGTGTTTAGCCTTTTCTACTGCTATCGATGCTATTACTATTCCCACTATCAAGGTATTTATTTCCATAATTTTATCTCGCTAGGCTGATCTAGCATGGCAACTTGAACTGGAGCACATATCTGCTTATGATTAACTGACTGAATTATTACGCTTAAAATTTTAAAATTAGGCTTAAATGCATGAAAATTTTCAGTAACTTAATCAAGAAACTAAATTGGATCTTATCACTGAACTATAGGTAATACTAGGTACTTGATAGGAAATTGCTTGGCAGCCGAAAACATATCTACAAAGAATTTAGCAAACGGCTTAGACATTAGTAAAATGGACATTATGGAAACTAAATAATAGTGGGATTTTATACCATAAACAACGCACGAATGTCTACCGGCTTAAGGTACCACATTTTCTGTTGACATCGTGAAATAAAAATAGCAATATGAGGATCAAGGTAAATTTAAACATGGTGTTCAGAAGTGGTTTAAAAAACGGCAAAGAAAATGTGGTTAGGAAAGAGGAAGTGAAACAGGGAAGTAAAAAGTGTAGTGACACAACAGTTTAAGAATTAGGAGACAGAATGAATATATGTTTCCCAATCGAGTCGCGTACCATGCCACCTAAGGTCTTCAACCATTAACCGTAATCATCAGATAGATCCTAGTCAGAGAGTAGTTTGGTTAATCAGCTTATTGACGGAAGCTGTTTTCGACTAACCGCCTTTGGACAAGTTTCAGTCTAATCCCACGGAGGCTAATGCTGTACGTCATGGTAGTAAGTATATTGGCGTATGTAACACAGTTTTAATCATCTTACTCAATGAAGCATCATTATACTATCAACAAACTCTTCATTTTTGCCTAGATCGCCATGCATGACCTTATGATTACAAATTTTATGTTTCACCATTCGCAACTAATGCTTTGAAGACAATTATGTTTGAAAACATGAGGTTCATGAATATCGTTTACTTACAAAATGTTTTTCAGGGCTTAAGAGAATCACGACCAGATAATTAAAAGACTTTATTGAACATCATGGATCAGAACGAATTGCAGGGTTCATTCTGATTAGAATGGACATACAAGTTTAGTACGAACTTGTGGATACACTTACACATAGTGAGTTGCAGATAAAAATCGAATTGTGTATGTGAATAACCTATGTACAATAAAAATCCAGGGTGGCTAATAGGAGAATGGGTTATTTTAGTGGTGCAAAATTCATTATACTGTATGATGTGAAAGTAGATAGTTGTGACCTTTGGTCTATGAAATGTGGCATCCTAGCCGCCATACAACTCAAGGAAGTGAGATGCTAAACATGGCTATAAATTGATGCGCCAATGTACAGTTGCGAAATACTATCAGTCACTACGATGTTGGTCGAAAATCATAAAAAAAATAATTTTTAAAAGAACTGCTGCCCAAATATAAACAAATACTTTCAGAACAGTTAGACTCCGAGTGTATGGAAGACGCCAAAGACAGTTTGGTTAGAGCTTCTGGAAAATCAAAATTAACAAATACAAAAAGGATTCACCAAACAATCGTGCAGGAAACGAATGCGTAACCATATTGAGATGTTAAAATGTGAAGTCACCCCCAGATACTGGTAAGGCCGAGGGTGGGGAGAGTCCGTTCTCCCTCTCGAAATGCTCTCACATGGCTACGCGTATATGGCCACTGCCAGGGAAATCCTACTCACTACCTTCTCGCAGCAGGGGGTGTTGCTTACGAAATTGAAAGAACGTAAAGCAAATGTCCGGCACTTTAACCGGTTTGGTGGATATGGAGGGTCCACCCAGGGAAGTTGCAAAATTCTGATTTCAAACTAATGGTGCACATGGACTCCAGGATCCTGAGGGAACAACTGGCGTATGAACATATTGTTGGTCATTGGAAACCATAGAACTGCATCTCCTAAAATTGCTCCACTGTTTTGTGGATTAGACCTTCAGGTCAAAGACTCGGGGTGTGGCCCCCTAAGAAGACCACTTGCTTTGGTCTTAGCACACGGGCGGTATCACAGCCCTAACACAAATCAACGATAACTGCTACTGGCCTCATTGTTACTGTATGGTGCATATGTATTTAGTGCCCCCTTGTACCAATGTTTATATGTTAAAATAAACAATGTGAAGTTCCCATTGCGAGCATGTATTATTTGATATGAGATATGTTGAGATTATAGCAAAAGAAACGCATTCATTTATGTGGATCCGACATATTGATCATATATGAATATAGGTTGCGGTCGGAAACGAAGTTAGTCAGTCTGATCGATAATCACAAATCAAACATTTTAGAGCATGTATCGAATGAGAGCAGATAATCAAATGTGTTTGTTATGAAAATCAATTGGTTATCTAAGGTTTAGCAAGATACTCAACATCCATTGGCCGGATACCATCAGCAACAGCCTTTTGTGGGAGAGAACAAATCAGCTTCCAGCTGAAGAAGAAATTAGCAAAAGACGATGGAAATGGATAGGACATAAATTACGCAAATCATCAAACTGCGTCACGAGACAAGCCCTAACTCGGAATCCTGAAGGAAAACGGAAAAGAGGGAGGCCTAAGAACACATTACGTCGGATAATAGAAGCAGATATGAAAAGGATGAATAGGAACTGGAAGGAGCTGGAAAGGATTGCCCAGGACAGGGTTGGATGGAGAATGCTGCTGAGCGGCCTATGCTCCTTCACGAGGAGTAACAGGCGTAAGTAAGTAAGGTTTAGTCAAACATAAGAACTTGTAAAAAAAGACCTACGCTGCTGTCAAAACATGAGATGAAAAGTAGGTAGTAGTTTGGATTTATATTTAATTATTAATCAACAGTTGCTACGGTGCAATTAATCTTACCTACTTTCTTTTAATTAGATTGTGTATCTATTCAGATATTTAGGCTTCGTTTGTCAGTCAGTCATTATACAAGCTAAAACCTGTTTTGTCTTGAAGCGAAGTTACTTGAGATTCCAAGCCACTGAGCACGGTTACAGTGGGAGTTACAATCCGGTGGCCACTAAAATGGTTTAGTTCGACAGTAAATTATTTCATGGACTTAAGTCTTTATTTACTCGCTCTTAGCTTTCCTATCATTATTCTAGGGTCAACCAAAAATGCAAACTGAGATAAGTGGTTGGATATACGTAATACATGTACTACGCATCTCAGTTGACAAACATTCACCTCACCAACATATCACATCTTTACCTGATATCCAACGTTTAGTTGCTTTAATGTTACATCAGTTGCCCCACCGTACGCGAGTAATCCTTTAAAGATACCTATGATCAAATATTTAAAGCCTACTCATATACCCTACTTTAAGTGCGAATAATATGACGGACTGTTAAACCTATACCATAGTAGACGCAAGTTGATAAAAAACCACCTGAGCTGTTTGAACCCGTCTGCCGACTTCGTTAGTTGTGAACCTACTAAGGGTGATGGAATTTTAAAAATAAGAAGAAATGAACAACACTCAATTAATTCACTGTTCATGATAATTTTAGGCGTTGATATATTTAAATCCTGAAAGAAAATCCACTAGTGTGAAATTAACCCTTTAAATACCATAGGTAGCAACCTAGACGAAAAACATTTAGATCAGAGAATATATTGATTATTACTGTAGACTATCTAAACAGAACGGAACACCCTAATCAAATAACAAATGGATGGTAGCTAGCAGTGGAATCCAGGACGTGCGTTTCGTCCTGCCTGGAACTCGTCAGTTGGACGTATGAGCGTCCCAAAGTGAACATCAATTCTAGGATTCAGATACATCCAGCTGACGAGTCCCAAACAACGCGAAACGTGCGTCCTGAATTTCACTGCTAGCCACTATCCATCTTTGTTCATAATGCTTGTGAATTAAGGCCATATCGAAGCATTCCGCACAGGATACACATATGACAGTAAGAGACCGATTAATTGCAATCTAAAACGTCAATCTGAAGATGCGAACAACCAATACAAAATGAATCAAATACCTTAATGCTTTTCGCTGAATAAAAGTCGCATAACGCGGACTTGGTAAGAGTATGGCATCAGTCAATAACTAATTATTGATCAGTAACACTTATAAGATTACTTTGTGCTGACCAACTTAAGTCATGGGTTAAGCATAACCATAAGACGTTTACTGATACATAAAATCAAATAATATAAAAGTAAATCACATCATATTAAACCATCTCAGATGCGATGAGTTAAGATTACAGTGATCTTAGCTAGACCATCATTGCAAGACTGAAAGGATAGAACAGCTGTTTCGTCAAGGCATGACTCTTCAGCAAACATTTAGCTACATTAGATTAATGAACTAAATTTAATAACTACATCTGCACTTACGTCAGATTGCCCAATCCGCGTGGTACCACGAATACGAGAGTACATCTACAGTAATGAAATAATAGGAAAGATGAAGACTTAGAACGAGAAAATAAAGGATACACAATCATGAAAGCCAATTCCTACTGGACATAGATGCTGAAGTCAAAACTACGAAAATGGTTGGTGGAAAATGCTTTCGAAAGCTAAATGGTCACAGATGGTTTTTTAACTTGATATGAATATTCAAATACCCAGTACATAACATTTATAGTAATGATAAGGACTGGTCTTAAGCTAATATAGACCACTCACAAAAGTCTAGCTAAAAATAAAACCGTCAACCACCAATTTATTACTAGGCATGTACAAAGCATATTGTGGTAAAAATCAAAATCCCAGTTGTATCCATGTATCATACGTAATCTAAATTACTAGATATGTTAACAGTTGAATTTTCAGTTCGTGGAGAAAATATTGTTATCAGTATAAAATAGTGAAGTACCATGAGAAAAATATTACGGAAATATTTGTTTGTTTTGTTGTATCCACTACCTAAAGCACTTGACAATCTTTTTTTGTATATTTTTAAAAATGAACTACTGAGTGGAAAATAATTAGTATTCTCAAAAGGCAACGTAGGAAAGGCGAGAAAAACCTCGTGAACTGGTATTTAGCTTTGAAACATAACGAGCTTTTACAGGAATATATGAAGCATTTACAGAGTTATCACAGTTTAGTAGATAAACTGAACCACCCCATATACGGACTCGGTTTCGACTGTGAAAGTGACATCTTCATCTAGGTAAACGCAAATATTGGTATAAATTGGCACCAAAATAAATACGCTCCACAAAATAAGAAAGAGATTGCGAATAGATAGAGGATGATAAACATAATCAAAACAAAACAAACATAAGTAAAGCAGTTAAGAATAATACAACCAGAAAAAACCCTTCTGACTAGACAAGTTTTTTTACATTTACGAATGTGAAGGAAAATTACTATAGGACTGCCACTGGCTTCTATTCTAAGTCAAATCTGACATCTCATTCCATTATTTCTCGGTCACCAACCAGAGGTTTGTGATGCATATTTATTTTAACATATAGACATTGGTACAAGGGGGCACTAAATACATATGCACCATACAGTAACAATGAGGCCAGTAGCAGTTATCGTTGATTTGTGTTAGGGCTGTGATACCACCCGTGTGCTAAGACCAAAGCAGGTGGTCTTCTTAGGGGGCCACACCCCGAGTCTTTGACCTGAAGGTCTAATCCACAAAACAGTGGAGCAATTTCAGGAGATGCAGTTCTATGGTTTCCAATGACCAACAATATGTTCATACGCCAGTTGTTCCCTCAGGATCCTGGAGTCCATGTGCACCATTAGTTTGAAATCAGGATTTTGCAACTTCCCTGGGTGGACCCTCCATATCCACCAAACCGGTTAAAGTGCCGGACATTCGCTTTACGTTCTTTCAATTTCATAAGCAACACCCCTGCTGCGAGAAGGTAGTGAGTAGGACTTCCCTGGCAGTGGCCATATACGCGTGGCCATGTGAGAGCATTTCGAGAGGGAGAACGGACTCTCCCCACCCTCGGCCGTAGCAGGGAATTTAGGTGCTAATCCTAAACAACTTTCAGAGCCCAACCACGTCTTCGTCCTTCCCTATTAGTCTCGGGATCATCAAATACCTAATGTGGGGTCCTCTGAGCCAATATACATCAAATATTCCAGTCATGAAAGCCGATGTTTTAAGTTGGTGACAGCTGAATTGTCGTCAGTGTCCTACCTTCTGCACTGCTAATATGATGCTACTGAATGTCAGTAATCTTTCTGAGGACGATGGTCGAGCAGATTTCTTTCAAATCCTTAACTAGGAGACCAGGTTCAAAAGCACAGACTGAAAGTGCTCTCACTGACGACATAACACCGAGTAATCGCCGTCAACTTCAATTTCCAGATTGCAACATATTACAACGAAAATTTTGACGCGAATATCAAGAACATCGGGAACTAAAGAGTTTCAAGATTTATGTCCATAATAAGTCAAACTGACATTTACATCCTACTCGACTTTTGAGACAATGTGAAAATACAACTTCGCCTACATCATAATAAAAATCTTGATCTCGGAATTCCGCATCTCAAATGGCTGTATATTTCAACAAAGGACTAACTAAAAGGCTGAAATAAGTTATGGCAAATGTAGGCTATTCACTTAGTCTATCAACGTTCAAATGCTGTTACCTACCTAACAACAAAGAACTAACCTGGTCATGGAAAAACCGTTGCTGTGTGATCTTCGTTGACTGTGAATAATCACTGGATGAACCATCATCATAGAATGGAGTATCAATATCAGGCAGTCTAGAGAGACCTTTACTGGTGACAGCATTTCTAGAATGACTGCCCAGGTTTTGATGACTGAGAAGCGACTTCTTGAAACCGGTCTGGTCGAGTGGACTTTGATTGAGATTTTCGTGATCAAAAAAAAGTTCTTGGCATAGCATGTCATCGTCGTAAGCATCTCTACAATCAGACTCCGAACTGGATTGGGATCCGCATGGCGTTAAAGATCCTACAACACCATTTCGATCATATACTGGGTCTTCTTCAACTTTACTGACGTGCAATAATTTATATGAACCCTTAGAATCTGCAAAGAATAATAGATGAAAATTGATATTCTGCAACATACTGGTCAGGTGTGAGTGCTCATTTAAGTAAGAGAGCTTTTCTGAAGATTTGTTTTCAAGGCTTATTTCATTTAAAGATACTGTTTTATGCGATGAATCTGAGGGTAAAGGTCTCAATATGAAGTGGACACGATTGGGTTTATCGTCAAGCTTAAAAGAGGACTCCTGTAAAACTGCTTGGACAGTAGTGTTGTTTTGCGAGGGACTGATACGCGTCACATGGATTTTATGAGGTGAGTTAGTAGTAAAGGACTTTGTATCTGACGTTGGGACTAAACGAATAGTTGTAGGGCGTGAAGACTCATTATTCGTGTGGATCACATTTGGAGAACAGTTGTTCGAAGATTGCACGCAAGATGCATAACCACTAGATTCGTCAGAATTGGCTGTATCATCTAAGAATGAGGAGACCAAGGAAGTAGATTCTCTTATTTCAATCTCATCGCCGACAAAGAAATCATCTGCGACAGCTACGAAATAAGCACACTGCAAAACTTACTTTCCGTTTTCAGAATGTCACAGAGAGGAGCATCCAACTTAATCTTAATTTCTTCAGGAATATTTTCTAATATCAAATCATCATGAGTGATTTGTTGATCATCTAGAGTTTCAAAGATGTCAGTCATCCAAGATTGGGTGGACTGGACAGAGTCCTACATCATCAAATTTAGAAACGGGTTAACTTACAAATTCATTTGTACTGAAGTCCGTGAAGAAATCCCCTAAAATCAGCTCCCCGGCCATGGTTTGGACAATACTTGAATGTGCTTCTGAGTTCAGAAGTAATCGAATGAAGCAATAAAACAATCATTCCAAATCTTTAATTTTAGCTTTTCCTTCACAATAAATTAAAATTTCATAAAATTTCGAGCGTAAACTATTAAAATTTGGAGAAAATTATCGTTAGATCATTCCTACTTTAATGTTGTCTTACTAAATCGATAGTACTAAATGAAACATTGGAACTTCTCACTCCGATGAAGAAGTGATGACTCTCGCTCGTTATGTCTGACACAAGACGAAAAGAAAACCACAAGCACCGCTGGCTTTTGGTGGCCAAGGATCTGACTTTACTTTTGCTTCTCTACGTAAATGAGTTACCATTATTGCTTTAGTCGTCCACATTATTGTTAGATGACGATTTCAAAATCTGGAGAACAATAGGGGGTGAGCCGGTATTTTTTTTATTTTCAAACTGGTTTTTCTCATCGAGTGGTCAGTGGCTGGAACGCCTTGTCCGAACAAGTGGTATCATCCCAATCAGTGATTATTTTCAAGGTGATGCTGGACCTCACTGGAAGACACTGGAAGGATTAACACTGGTCCACAAACCTGCTATCCTTATTACTTAAGACTGAAGACTAATTTAATCGTTCGACGCTTGTTATTGAAATATACATGTCACCAATCCTTGTATATAGTCATGGACTTAAATCGCAATGTTAAATAACGGAATTAAATAACTGAAATTCGACAATGGATTTTTGAGTGCGTATATTTCGTGCGATTGTTGACCCGGAGGTGAAGAATGACGAAATGATGCACAATGAAGTAGGTGAACGAGCAAACTCAATTTAATTGAGAGTTAATCGATATTTATAGTCAGACCAAAAATAAGTTGTAAACATGCGCTATTTAAAAATGACAGTGGTATTTTTCCTCGCTGAGTAAATTTCTTTGTTTTGATCGTTTATTACGTACCAAGACTACTGTTTTCACTTTAATTGAATTTATTTCAGCTAAAGTATTCGACTAGAGTATCGTTTTTACTGTTCTCTCAATTAGTTTCGTCGTTGGCACTCTTGAGTACCTCTTTTCAACTGTATCTGTTAGTATTTTCGGTTCTTGCAATCTACAGCTCTTCACTTTTTTGGTCATTGATTATTTTTTTTGTTTCTGAGTATCATCGCATCTTGAAAAGAACCCCTCCTAAATGACCGGACAGTGTAAAAAAAAAGCAGTTGCCAACGTCCGGGTTGTCGTTATCCTGTTGAAAGCGGCATGCAGGGCGACGAGTGCAAAGGCTGGTACAACGAAGTTTGCACGAACTTAACGCCTACTGCTTTCAAACGGTTCAGTAAGAAGGGTTGTTTATGGCTTTGTCAACAGTGCTGCTCGGATGCAAGAAGCCTGTTAACCGAGGCCATCTCACTGGTTGATGTTGCAAAGAAATGTTTTAGCAAGCATAGTCGGAACGCGTCAAACAGCACTCGATCTGTCGACACGCAAATCAACGTGAAGGAAACTAAGGTTAGTTTGGTAGTAGATCACTCACGCCCGCCAAAGAAGGAAAAGCAGTCTCCAAAGAAGCCTGTCTTAAACAAAAGCTCAAGAAAAGTAGGGTCCTCCGTTCCCCGTCTCCCAGATGGGATCCAACAGGAAAAACCTAGAAGCCGCAATCACAAGGCTCGATCGGTTTCAAACGGTAAACATAACGCGACCTCTCAGGTCGTCGACAACCCCCAAAACCTAACACTAGGTTTGACGCAACTGTTATTGCTTCCACCAGCACCGTTGACGAATGGGTACAGGTTGTAAGGAAGAAAAGTAAGGATATAAAAGGGAACCCAGCCCCCGTAAAAGTAGCTGAAAAATCGAAAGCTAATCATAGCGACAGATCAGCTATTTTCCATGGAATCAAGGACAGCGAGAGCTCTGAACCCAAAGCTTGTTTTGAGCATGACATTGTACTGATTAGGCAGCTGCTTAATCAACTCATGCCTCAAAATATGACCGGGGTCACCTTGCTAAAGGTGTATAGACTAGGGAGTCTAGCGAACTTTAAACCAAATCAATCCAGACTGCTTAAAGTAGTATTCAAATCATCTAACGAACGCGACCTAATTTTACAGAATGGACATAAATTAAAGGGTTCAGGAGTTTTTATCCGTAAGGACTTGCCATTGGCAGACCGTGTAAAAAGACGGGAAGCCGAAAAAGAACTACAACTTAGGTTAGACGCTGGTGAAAATGACCTGAAAATTGTAAATTTTCGGGTTGTAAGGCTTCGACAGAAAATGATGCCGAAGCCACTCTGGATGAAGCACGAAGCCACTTTAAAAGGCTTCGGATCTGTTACACTAATACCCGAAGCTTACTTAATAAGCGATCGGAACTAGGTGTACAGATTGACTCCATCATATGCCACCCCTAGGTAAAAGTAACCACGCAGTTATAACTTTCGACTTCCATATAACTGCCAGTCACGAGCACGCGTCAGTTCTGTCCAGACACTACGTCTGGAAAGCAAACATACCAGATATCATGCACTCAGCATCGTTAGTAGATTGGACAATAGACCTAGAGTCCTCAATTGAAACGGCCTGGGACGCATTTCGAAATTCATACTTAAAAGTTACCACATCCCTTGGACTATACTAAGGGGGACTATACTAAAGGGGCCGAGAAACTCCCCACCATGGTTCAGTAGGGAGGTCCGCATCCTTCTCCGTAAGAGAAGAAAAATGTGGGATAGATTTAGATTACTGGGGACTGATGAGACAAAATCTCAGTATCGAAAAGCTCGGAATACCTGTGCCTCGAAAATTGTACAAAGGAAAACTTGTTAAGGAATCCATAGAATATCCTAAACGTTTGTATTCCTATATAAACCAAAGGACAGAGAGAAGAGGAAATATTCCTGCTATATGGGGAGACAGCACTGCCGCATCATTAGTGGAGGACGACTTTGGTAAGGCTCAAGTGTTCTCAAACTACTTTAGCAATGTATATACCATAGAAGCACCCTTCCCGTCAGTGCATACAGATCCCCCCACACATACACTGGATAGAGTGACCATTAAAGAACTCGATGTCTTTGGTCTACTAAATAAGCTTGACATGGCTAAATCCACGAGGCACGATGAATTACTTCCTAAGCTACTGAAGGAATTATCTAACTTCGTTGCGAACCCTTTAAGTTTATGCTTTAATCTATCCGTAACGCAGGGTCGTTTACCCAAAGACTGGAAAAACGCCGTAGTAAGTCCTGTCTTCAAAACAGGTACGAAACACAAACCTGAGAACTACAGCCCCGTAAGCCTAACTAGTGTGGTTGTTAAAATCTTAGAAAAGATTATTCGGAAGGAGCTGTTTAAGTATCTCGAGAAAAACCGGATCCTTTCGGTGAAGCAGCACGGCTTCAAATAGGTTATTCTTGTCTCACTAACTTATTAGTGGCTCGTGAAATCTGGTGCGCTCTTAAAGACCAAAATTTACCTGTAGACGTAGCCTTCATTGATTTCAGCAAAGGTTTTGACAAAGTTCCACACAACCCGCTGTTATATAAGTTAAGAAATGTCAGGATTGGATGCAATCTATTGATGTGGATAGAAGACTTCTTAGTTGAGCGTCAACAAAGAGTACGGGTGAACTCAAAGTTGTCTAGCTGTGGAACTGTACTTAGTGGAGTGCCCCAGGGTACAGTTTTGAGGCCAGTTCCATTCCTCTTGTATGTAAATGACCTTCCTCGTCTTCTATCATCATCGGTCTTGCTTTATGCTGACGATGTCAAGATATGGAGAACGATATGATGTAAGGGTGATAGCTTAGAACTCCAAAATGACCTGAGGAAATTATCTGAATGGTCTCAAACATGTTAGTTGCCGATAAATACTTCCAAGTGTGTTGTGATGCATATCGGTCATCAAGGTACAGATACATACACGATGAATAACATTGAGCTACCTGTTGTCCAGACGCATAATGACTTTCGAGTCATCGTTAGCCAAGACTTATAGACTACTGCACACTGCCGTGCAATAGCTGCCAAAGGTTTTAGAACCTTATGGTCAATACGTAGGGCTTTTATTCATGTCGACGCTAAGACGTTTTTGACTTTGTATACAGTGTTCGTGCGTCCTAAACTTAAATACTGCATACAAGCGGCCAGTCCCTGCTTAAAAAAAGACAGTGAGCTTCTGGAAAAGGTTCAGAGAAAAGCAACTAAACTGATTCCCGGAGTAGCGAAGCTTCCGTACGATGCTCGACTGGCCAAGCTAAACCTTTTCCCGTTGTCATATCGCAGAACTAGAGGCGACTTGATTACAGTTTTCAAACTGCTTAGTGATAAATTTGCACCTGATATGCCCTCATTTTTCTTGTCTCCAAAAACAGAGAATTTACGAGAACACTCCAAAAAAATTTCGCAAGCCCAGAACAAATTACTTGTCAGCTGACTATCGACTTTCCCATCGAATCATCAACGAGTGGAACTCATTACATCAGCACGTGGTTAAGGCTCCATCCGTCGATTCTTTCAAAAGAAAGTTGGATCAGCTGAGGGACCACCATTGCCAGGACTAACATACAACATCGAGCCTCCTGTCCTTCCCAAACTGAAACTGAATAAGATGGAAAATGCACCCACATACACTTATATAAAGACGATCAAGGTCGGTAAACCAATAAGTGATAGGGTGAAATGTGAGTTGGGAGGAATTAACAGATTTATCTTTCCAGATGCAAGAATAATCTATATGGGCTTGACATGGTGTCAGCCCCTACAAGCTCAGATCTTACTATTCACCAACAGACTGAGATCCTAACTGTCGTTCTGTAGAACTTATGGTCTACTATGATATTAGTACTGCTCTAATAATAAACCTAATCCTAAATCTGTGGATTTGTCATGATATGACTGCCTAATCTATAAGATCTTACGTGGAAGTCACACCATCAACTACACCAACTCACTGTATCACATCAATTACCAATACATGATGTAGAACAAGGTTAGGCTAGAGAAAGAACAATATATTTAATATGAAAAGAAGACAT